TATTCCTTCCACCACTTATATTGATATTTAATTTCTTCTAAATTTGAACATAGAATATTTTTAACTAAACTCGTGCAGCAATAAATTCCAACTAATAAAATAAATACCCAATGATGTGTTTTTCGATGACAGCAATAATGACAACTATTGAAGACGAGCTGACTGACTAATCAACTTCATCAGAGACGGAACATACTAGTCGTACTACATACGTTTGTATGATGCATAAAAATTATTAATATAAACATTCAATTAAAATTTCATGTATTTATGGTTATAAATCTCAGTTTTTCCTTAACTACTATGTGTTTGGTATTCCTGACGATTTTAAAAATATTGGGAATTTTTTATTTTTACCCCCCAAAGTACCAATTAGATTCACTTTATCGCCATTGAAGATGCTATTTTTACTGTCTAAAAAAACTCACATCATTGTAAAATCAATACATTCATCGCTATACTCATAATTAAACAATAAATGGTAACTATAACTGTTAGATGTAAATTATATGGCAGTAACTGGATTTATCATATTATTGATAGTTGATACTGCAGGGTAAGTAAAATAGAATATCCTGTAAAAAATCTTAGTTCGCCACGCTTCTATACTTATATGTACATATATAGGTATATATAATTATCTTCTAGCGAAGTATTGCTATACTGCAATTTATGTATATGCGCATGTATTTATGTATATGTAATATGTATCAATGCATGTTTGTATGCATATCCATGTATTATATACATAATACATGTAACATGTAGTTTGAAGTATAATTTTCAATAGATTAGATTTGACATTTGAAGTGGGTGAAATGTACAGTCGATTAATAGTTGTAAGAAAAAAAATGATCAAATAAACCCAATAATCGGAGTAAAAATTGATTGATTGAAATAATTGATCGGGTATGTAGGTGTGTGAGTATGTGTGTCATATATTATATACATGAGTGTATGCATGTATATACTTATTCTAGCTATACATCCGATTATTAAATTGCAAGTAGTACCTATAAATTAATATATTATGTATTAAGTATGCTGTGTGTGTGCTGTTTATGCATATCGAGTTACACAAATTATCGGTGCCACTCGCGACATGGCCCGGCCACTAACCCACTCGCGACATGGCCCGGCCACTAACCCACTCATGACATTGGCACGGCCACTCATGGCATGGCATGGTCACTGACACATGGAGGGGAGTGGCGGCGACACGGCCCAACCGATCCAACCCGCACTAGCTGGAACCATATCATAGACTTGGCGGGGTCGACGGATTAGCTGGATTTGAGGGGGACGCGGAACCTACCACTAACATACTACTCTTGACTATTTTTCAACAAAAAAATTGAATTTTTAATCTGCAAAATTTGTTCTAATCGTTTTTAAACAAAAGAGTAAGTTATTATTAATGTTATTGATAATAGTTGTACATTGTACTGTTATACATAATAATTGGTGAGTGGTGTGGCTCGCGGACATTCTACTTTCTAAACTTCTAGCACCAAAAACTTAAACGATGCCTCGATGTAGCTGTGAGCACTGAGCGGTAGCCGTTAATTATACGTAATATAAATATATAATCCATATTATATTAAACATTTTATTATTATTATTTATTTGTATAATTGCATATAATACATTATTTAATTATTATGAAGATGTGAGATAGCGCAAACAAAGACAATATATTACGTGATTCGGTAGTAATCGACACTTGAAATGGATTTCAAACGATAGTGCGCCGTCGCCAAAACCGTCCGCCCTATAGTATTATGCTCTAAGCTGCGGGCCACAAACGGCACTACCTATCGTCCTTATTCTTTCGTACGCTCGTGGTTCTGGTTTCCACGTATTTCACGCCACTCTTTTTTTATTATTTTCAATTTCGTGTGATCGCTTAATATACAACGGTGCATCGTGTTATATCGATTTCACAAATTCAGGAACCATATCGTAGACTCACATGCACTGGTCTAGAAACGATGATAATCTCAATATAATAATAATTAGGCATATAATGATATAATAATCTTGGCCGAAAACAAATGATGAAAACTCATTATTGACAACCCATTTTATATATTATGATATAAACACCTCATAAAAATAATATTGATTAAAACGGTTATCGGTGAGCAGCGATACAAAATAAAATATATAATACCTAATCACGTAAATACGCACTATAATATTTCCCATAGGGCCATAGGGGAGATGATATTTTGAGTCAATTTTAGTACTTTTAATTTTCCCCACAAATTGAAGGTGCATTTAAGCGGGCAAGTACCTGTGCCACATCTAAATATTAATTTCGGTAATCTGCACCACACTTCCAATTTTAATTTTTGGAATTAACCGAGCTCACATAAGTTAGGTATAGCAAGCTAAGCTGCACTCATACCGACACGTAGTCGAGTCTGATACAATATAATTGTGTTACATATATATATTTATATTATACTTCTAATAATAAGTAAGATAAAGACTAGAATATTGACCAATTATTACTTGAATATGTATCGCATCAATAATTTTCATAAATCGTAAACTATTGTAATTTGGTTACAGATTATCAGTTAAAAATAGTTGACTATCTTATTCAATATTGCCTAATGGAGTCATTAATAAATTATTGTTGGGTACTTTAAATTTTCACCAAATATTTATATTAAGATTTTCTAGCAATTATTGTTTATTGTTCAAAATATTTTGGTCCATTTTAATTTATTTAAAGATATAACAATTTTTCAGTTATTATTTTAATTTATGTACGATACAATTTTTGTTAGCGAGAAAAAAGCTTGAAAATTTAATGCAAGACGCACGATATATTGTTTTTACGAGTACTAAAAAAATAAAAAAATAAATTGAAACTATTTTTTTATAGGATTTTAAAGTTATAATTTTGACAAAATTGGATATTTATTTATACAAATAAATTATGTAATATCCTTAGAAACAGATTGCTCGGTCTCCGCACTGAGTCATTTTTCGTATGCGTTGAGTTATCATTGGATTCAAATTTATTTCGTTCATTATAATTTACCTAAAGTACCTACTTTATGAGGCATATATATATTATCATCTCTATGAGTTGGAGGCTATACAGTTATTTTCCAAAGAAAATTACTTTATAAAATATTGTATTATGATTACAACGAAATTACATCATTTACCAATAGGTAATAGTGTAAATATCAATATATCATGTACTAATCATGTTCTGTCATCACCTTTGAAATAATATAGGTAGGTTATGCATGATGATTTTTAGTGTGATTTGCGGCATTATTTAATTATGATCTGTGATAGAAGTTATGGCTGCTAAAAAATTATTATTTTAAAACTGTAGTTAAAATATTAAATCGATTAGGTATCAGATAACCAGTCGAAGTCTAGCTATTGAAAAATAAATATTAATACGTATATACACAGCTAATATTTTGTAGAACAAGCGATTCCGGGTGGTGGTTTTGGACGTTCAATAATAGATTCCGCCTTGGAAATGTGGAAGGGTTAATAATAGCAGCAGTACGCGTGGCATAATGCTGTCAAAAGGAGAGGGTGGCATTAGGTGGGTTCAATGGTTCCCAACAAAAAATTCTCCAGGGCACCAGCCACACGAATAATCGTAGACTCGAAACTCGACGTTACACGAAAACAGAACAGAAAGCCTACAAAAAAATTACCTTATTCTGATGTATGAATAACAGAAATAAAGTAGAAAACGTATTCGAAATGTCGGCTGTTCGGTTGGATAGACAGAGACATACTTCAATACTTGATATAATGATGTACTATAGTGCTCAACCATTGATCACTGCTCACTGGTATAAATGACTAATAATTGTAACATCTATACTTATATAGTTACATAGTATAAATATATACCAGGTATTAGGTATACATAAATAATAAAATACTTACTATTTTAATCAATGGTACGACGATGAAGGAAGATATTTTTGTTCGATTTGTTGGCGACGGCGGCACCAACACAATTTGTACTTAGCCGAATCGCGACCATGTTGGCGTTGTAGAGGGAAGGGGGCAATTACTGTGAATCCGGTTACGGCTGCAGTGCGATAGCTTACCTACATTAAACTAAATAATAACAATTGGTTGTCAAAATTGTTGATTCTAAGCATGCAAGAAAATGTAGACAATGATAATAATATTTAGTGCTTATACTGCAATGATTATATTATAGATATAATAGGTTTAGACATTAAGGTACATTCCACTATCTTATATCCACTTGCTTCATTGCATTATTATCACGGAAGATTAATTGTCCGTCAACGTGCTGTGTGAAAAAAAAGACTACTAAGATTATACAAGTATCAGTGCCCCCTCCCCCACAATTGATTGAGTTCAGAAACAATAATACTGGAACACGACCCATACCGAATAATACGTAGTCCATCCAATGTCTCCAGAGTTCAGTTTTAATTTGTTTTTTTGGTATTTATAATCACATCTACAGAAATGAAATTGTCAAATATGACAATAAAAAATTGATTGTGCGGGGAGAGACAAACGTCTCCTTCACACCCTTCACCCTTAGGTCGGGATTCAGTGTCTGTCGATATATAGTACATATATAATATGTATATTGTATATATATATATGATATTAATGCAGTGAATAATAAATATCAATAATAATAATAATGTAAACTCTCGTCGCCATTGTATTGAGGTCAAAAACCGAACGACAGTGTGTGTCAGTGTGAGTGCATTCGCTTACATCTGGTGGAAGCCCTTCCACGAATGTAGGTCGAACGAGTGGTAAGCAATGGGCGGCGGCGTAGGCGGGCGGGCGGCGTGGCGCACGCGCCGATCGCCGGACCGGAATCAGCTGTGCGCCAGCTGTGTCGCCATCTACCGGGAATCTCCGTCACCAGTCACCACACGCCTCCCGCCGACCCGTTGTATAGAACGACGGCGACCGACGGCTGCGAGCTACCGTCAGCAGTCGTATTGTAATATAGTAGTTGCACCGTTGTTTCGGCTGTAGTCGTAGACTGTAGTGTCGTACCAATAACAACATAGCATAGTTGTGTGCGTGTCGGCCGTGTGAGTAGTGCGTGCGCGCGTGACGGCCTACTCTCTGTGCGTGTGCTAGTGTGTGTGCGTGTGCGTGTGCGTGTATGTGTGAGTGTACGATCCGTCGCGATGATAAGTGCCGCTGGTGGCAATAGCAGCAGTTGTAGTAGTTTTAGTCGTAGTAGCGATAGCGTACTCAATAAAAATTATTCTCGCGGCTGTGCCGTTCCGCGATTCGCAGTTTTCTCGACTTGACACTAGGCAGGCGGTTCTGGGGACTCGCTCGTACCGTTTTATACTTGTTTTTAATCGTTTTTTTTTTCTGCTCATTTAACTCTGTAGTTCTGTACTCACCTGACGTTTCCCTTCCCCCCACCAGCCAACTATCGTTTTTTCGTCTCATCCTCGGCACCCGTCCGTGTCGTGTTCGGATCAAAACCATACTACGCAGCGGTGGCTGCGTCTGCGGTACAAATGGCGGCCAGCCCGAACAACAGCAGCAACAACACGACCGTGGTGAACTCGGACTGCGGCGGCGGCTCGGCCGTCGGTGGCGGAAGCGGTTCTGCGGCCGTCAATGGTAGCGCGGCTAGCCCGTTCGGCCAACAAGGCGAGGACCGGTTGAAGGGCCTGTACCCCATGGTGGACGAGGATGACACGCCGTTGCCACGGAGCTGGAACTCCAAAGACAAGTTCACCAATCTCGGGCTATCGCAAAACAACATACGCGTTCACTACAAAGGTATATAACGTCCGTGATGTGATGGTCTGACCATTTTGGCATTTTCGAATGACGTTTTGGTGCCTTTAGACAAAACGTTTTCCCAATATAACAACAATATTCCCCAATTTCCATTTTCCAGTCGTATTCGACGTCGTATATTATTATTATTATTATTACTATATATATGAGTAACAAAGAATCAGCTGTTCATTGTTTTGTTTTGCGCGCACTGGCCCACTGTTGCCCTGGCGGTGGTAGTGAGGTAAGAGGGGAGGGGTGAACGGCAGTGGTATCGGTATGGTATGGTATGTGGTGTGCGTGTATGTGTGTGTGTACGCGCCTTTTGGTTCGACGGGTCGAGTCCGGATCCCTCTCGACAGGCGATCGCACTCTAAACACTATAACAGCGAGTGTGCTGCTTGTTCCTCGATTTCCGCGTCCAGAAAGACTAAGAGAGTCTGTTCAATTTGAACGACAACGTGTTTCTTCGGCCTCTGGCCTTTTGTTTTTCGATTTTACTCGCACCATCACAGTGTTACCGTGCCAAGGTCGCACGGAGGCTCTTGATCTTGTTCAAATCACCCGACAACCCAACCCCCTCCATCACTGTCGACGACGCTGTGTGTACCTACTGCACATAATGTTATAACTTGTTATTTTAAGTCGGTGAGGTGTCCGTGCAGTAGGCCCGTGTGGTTTTTGACGTAGCTACGAGTTTTCCTGCGCCAATTTCCCTCGACGACGAATAGGATGCCTCCCCCACCCGACTGCAATTGCACACGGCCATTTCGCAACATCTCGGTTGTTGCGCAAAAAATAAAATGAAAATGCGTTTCACGCATAATAATTAATATTATAATGTCCTACCCATTTTTATATCGTAATAATTATGCTAACTACTAGTAGGTAGGTAGTTGTAATGATACTATCTTTCAAAAACGCCTAAATTACCACGTACTTATATTTATTTAATTATTTCTACTTTACTAAAATACATTTTTTATTTTTTTTCTCCTTTATTTGAAATAAACAATCTATACCTAAGAGGCACACTGAGTATATGTGATAAGACTGAAATTACATATACATTATACATTACCTATAGGTATCTCAAAAAAAAAAACAGAACTACATAAACATTTTTTATTATTTAAAAAAATATTTACCATCCGTATACAAAAATACAATGAGTAATAAGTGTAAGAATTTTACAGGACTTGACGGCTTAAGTGAGGGGGGTATCTGGTAACGCTACTTTAGCTTGAAAGAGGTTTGATTTTAAACTTTTACTTATTACTGAAAATTATTTATTTAGGAAATCAGGTAGCCAATTATGCTCTAAGCGACGCAGAAGTTAGTGTTACTAAAATACTTACCTACTTATTAAAATATATACTTCCCTAGTTTCAAATGTTCAATACTTTCCAAAGACCAAAACCCAAATGCAATAAGATTAAACAGCAATTTGTGCTTCTATTAGCTGTAGGTACTTAAATTTGACTTGATGCGTTGTGCGGTCAACCAATCTGAGTGATGTCAGTGTTATGGTTATTAGTTTAGTTCAGCATTTCTTAAACTTTTTTATCCCTGGGACCATTTTGATGTCCACTTTTTCTTTAGTGGAACCCCTACTTTTTTTAGCTTTGTAGCTTTCAACAATTAGAACCCCTACTTTGTTTCAATAGTTTTAATTTAAGGGTTATTTGCAATAAAAATTATAGCTATAAAATATATACCTACCTACTGTATTTAATTCAAACAATTTAATGAGATAAATGAAATTGCTTTTTATTATTACACGTAGGTATTCTTAATATTGGGCTTTATTGATGAAAGTTGTATTATCATATTAAGTTTGGCATCAAGTCTGTTGCGGTATTTTGTTTTTGTTGATACATTTATAATACAAACATTTTTGTCCCCACTAGCCTCTTATGATCTTTAGAAAGATTTGTTTAAATAATTTTCTTGAAAATTTTTAAAAAAGCGCTTAAGTTTCTCAGAACCCTGTTTAAGGAGTACTAGTTTAGTTTATGATCTATATTTCTATTGTCCATCATAAACTTAAACCAATAAATCAATCTAAAATAAACACAAGTACCTATACTGAACTAGGTAATTTGTTGAATACCTAAATAAGAGAGAAGTTTAAGTAGTTTTTATTGGGTTTTAATTAAGTAGATTTTTTTTAAATGAGGTAAATGCATTTACTAAAGAATGTAGGTAGGTATATTCATAATCTCAAAATCTGCAGGATGATTTTTAGAAGAAAAAAATGTATACGGTTTAGTTTGCTTTTAGTGTTTCAAATTTTTACAGAATGAACCAAAGTCCCAATTATCTATTAAAAAATGTCAGTGTTACCTACATAATAGCAAGCTACTTGGCAATTATAGATTATTTTTAATTTTAATGTACCTACTTATCTAATGTGTTATATTCATGGGTCTTAATTACTACTAGCCACTAGGTACCTAAATAGGTACAAAAATATAGATGGGAAATCATTAATTTTATTGATACCTACCTACTTAGTTTATAATATTTCAATTTTGTTAGGTATATAGATATTGTATATTGTATATTTTAAGATGTATAATATTTACATTATTAAGTATTTCAGACTTATAATATTTAAAATTATTTACAAAGAAAATATGGGTAACATTTGATGTTTTTTAATCAGCAAAAATCGAACCTAAGTACCTAATTTTGTGATCTGTTTCAATTTCTATTTTACAAAATATTTCATAGTTAGATACATATAATTAATTAAATTAGTAACCTAAATGTCCTTTAAGAAATTAATGATTAAAAATAATGGGTAACCAAGATAATAATTTAACCAGTATTAGGTACATATGTAACGGTGAAACTTATTGAGAGGTGGTGAGACGGATAAATCCCACCATGACTTTTTTTTCAATATTTATAATAACCTTGATAATAACTAAGATAATATGTAACTATAAACGTCTAAAATGGTAACATAAATTATATTTTTAATGATCTAATAAGTAGTGTATGTTAAAAAATCAGCCTCATCTATAAAAAATTATTTGACTGTCACTGATACCCGATTGGAACCTACATTATTTTAATTTTTGAATAATGTTTTACTTGTATTTCTGTGTACCTACTTAAAAATATTTAAAAGATTTTTATTATAGGCACAATAAATAATAGAATTAGCTCCTATTACATAGTTGAAAAAAAAAAATTTAAAACATAGGCACTTAATAAATGTTTATTTTAAGTTAATACTTATAACTACCACCTACACAAAAAAACAACAATAGTTGTACATTGTGCTGACTTCTTAAATATCTGCTTCATGTTTGTTTGGCTAAAAACAAATATATAAATATATTTTTCTTCTGAATTCTTTTTTTATTTAACCTTTAAGGTTATACATTTTAATGTTGTTTACCTAAATAATACCTATATTAAGTTTTTCTTATGACAGAAACTTAACTCTTTAATTGTTGTTATAATTTCGTAGTTAAAGGAAGCAATACAACATAGGTGGTCAATTATTTATATTGTAACACAGTAAAATTTAATTATACAAAAAATAAAGTGATCAAAACAAATATAAAACTGTATCTAACAACTTATGAATAAGATCATATTATCTAATTCAAGTTAATGCATTCAAGAATTTGTGGGGTTCTATTAGTTAATTGTATGTATAAATTGGGTTCCATATTCCAAGATAGATGGTAAACTTACTAGCAACAGCCACGAGCTGTGGAATCAATTATATCCCATTTGAATAGCGTTTCTCCATATCTCTAATGGACGGTTCAGTTCTGTTTAATGTGACCCATTCTCATCATTTTAATGTAAAGCAAAGGAAATTAGATGATCGGATTCTAGATCAATTGATAGCAACTAGCAGGTAGTTGTCTGGGGTAAAATCTATATTTAAATCTACCATTCTGTTCGATTAATTCCTGAGCTCTTTGAGGCTTCCTTGATCAAATCTCAGTGTATAATTTTTAATAATGCCTTCATGGATTGTGAGTTTATTGTTACCTTCCTCTGTATTTGACCATTTATAATGTAATGGTAATTACGCTTAGGATATGAAGTTAAGAGATATTGCTACTTACTATTGATTTTAGAATGTGGGTGTAAAGTGTCCTAAGAATTTTAGTGGAAGCGTTCCCCAAGTGAGTCAGCAAGTTTTAATATGATAGGATTCCTTATTCTGATTTGTACAGCAGTATCTTACAGGTAAATTTTACTCATCAGTTTTTTATCAAATGTAACAATGTATTTAGGAATGAGCATTATATGCTAATATACAGTCTCTGAATTGAATGCTTAGAATGAACCTTAATCAAAAAAAGTCCTTACTTAATAGTCATGCTTATTTCTAAGTTCTAACATATGGCATAGGTAGTTGATACTATAAAATACAGCTTAAACTATAAGTAGATACAATTTGCTATTAAACGTATCAGATGGATGTATTAAATCATTACCATCTGAAAGGTACCTAATGTTGTTTTTTTAATCCTAAATAAAAATTATAATATTGTTCTAATAAATTTATTTGTTAGCCATAATAAATAATAATGAACATATTATAAATAATATAGTTTATGATAATAATACTTTTACTGGTAACTTATGTATATTAAATTTAATTCCTGTACCTGCATTTTGTTTTAATATTGAGCATTGTTCGAATTGCTTAATAATCAACAATCTTTAAGTGTAGGTTTAAATTATTGGCACTAATCCAAGGTCTATCTTTTATATCTAAATTAAATTATGTGCTCTAAAATAACTCAAAATATTTGTTAATTTATACAATAAACAAATATTTTCATTTAACATATAATATATATTAAATAAATATGTTCATTGGCAGTATTTTAATATCAAATCTTGTTTATAGTGCCTATACTACTGTTATTAACGTTGAAGTACTTACCAAATACTCTAGTTTATTATTAATGAAAGAGCATTTGTATCAGTTATACTACATTATACTAAATACTGAGTAAAACTAACATACTTACCTAATAAAATATTCATATAATTGTATGTAAAAATAATTTTTCCATTTATTTTTAGGTCATGGTAAAACACATAAAGATGCGGCCAGTGTTAGAGCCACACATCCTATTCCTGCTTCTTGTGGTTTATATTATTTTGAAGTAAAAATAGTTTCAAAAGGACGTGATGGTTACATGGGTGTTGGACTTTCAGCCCAAGGAGTCAATATGAATCGTTTACCAGGTAAATTTACTAACCTAAAATAAAATATTAAAATTGATTTATTCATAAAATGTAGGTACAATACATCCATACTAATAATTATAAATGTAATTTTAGGCTGGGATAAACATTCATATGGCTATCATGGTGATGATGGCCATTCATTTTGCTCAAGTGGCACAGGTCAACCGTATGGACCTACATTTACCACTGGCGATATAATCGGTTGTGGAGTAGATCTTGTGCATAACCACTGTTTTTATACTAAAAATGGAACCCATTTAGGAACAGCATTTACTGACCTTCCTGTGAGTAATCACTGTTAAGAAGTTTTAACTTTTTTGTTTTTTTTTAATAAAAATTAAAACAGTGAACATCAGCTCATTATTTGTTTTTTTCTCTGACATGTGCTACATAGCACATTTTTGTTCTGCATAATCAATAATCTAACCTTGTGTTGTTGGCTTAAATATGAGAATGAATTTACTTTTTATCAAACCTAAGTTAAGAGCATCTGTGTTTGTAGTTTTTTACTATATTAAAATTTTGTACAAAAAATCCATAATAAGAAAATATATAATGTTCTTAACTTAAAGTTTAATAATACGTAGGTCATTTCACTCTAATATTATAGTTAACAACAATAGTTCAGCTGAAGGCAAAGTTGCTATGTTAAATGTAGGTCAGAAAGATAAAAAATAAATGATGCACTGATACCCTCTTAAATTGTAGTGTTAATTAAATTTATTAATGTATTTATTTTTTTTCCAGCCAAATTTATTTCCTACGGTAGGATTACAAACACCTGGTGAGGTGGTTGATGCCAATTTTGGACAGTTGCCATTTGTGTTCAAAATTGAAGAAATGATGAAAGAGCTCAGAAGCCAAACACAAATGACTATTCAAAATTATCCATTTTCTTATCCATATTCACAGTGCCAGACAAATTTCCATAAGTAAAATAAAATAGTTATAATTTATTAACTATTTAGTATTAATAATAATTTTTGTTTCAGAATGGTTTCTACTTATTTAGTTCATCAAGGTTTCTGTGCAACAGCAGAAGCATTTATTTCTCAAACTGATCAATCATTTGAAGAAGAGATTGCTTCCATAAAAAATCGCCAAAGTAATTTATAACTACTAAAAAATTAAAATTAAAACTAATAATTAATGTGTTGTCTATTTTATATAGAAATATTAAAACTGGTATCAACTGGTCGAATGGGAGAAGCTATTGAAATGACCAATAAGCTTTATCCTGGGTTACTTGAATCGAATCGTAACCTTCTATTTAAGCTCAAATGCCGTCAGTTTGTTGAAATGGTCAATGGTACAGATTCAGAGGTAACATCCCGCTCTCATGATAATATTGAAATTCACACAACAACTCGTCCATCGCCAAAACGTACATTACAGTCAAATAGAAGTCCAACTTCTATACAAACCAATGGGTATAAATAAATTGAAAATAACTTTATAATACAAATTTATATTGTTTATTTATTTATTTTTAGAAATGTAAAATGTCAAAAACTATCAAATACTACTGAAGTGACTGAAATAAATTCAGTGAATTTGATATTAAATGGTTCTTCAGATGCAACTACAATTAAAACAATTAAAAATGGTACACCAAAAATTAATGACTACCAAATAGAAAAAATGGATTGCAACGAAGACAACCAAATGACTGAATATAATATTATGTCAGCTGACAGTGTAAATGGACATCATCAAAATCACCTTTTAGATGGAGATTATAGTTCAAATGGTTATCACAATGGGCATAATTGTGATGAACTAAGTAATGGAACATCAAGAGTCAATAATAACGGAAATGAAGAATCCATGGGTAAGTTTAACAATTTTTATTTTATAGAAACATAACTGTATTAACTAATGGTATTATTAAAATACAGATATTGATCAACCAGAATATCACCAAACTACCAAAAAAGTATGTGGTGGCAGTAAGCCTGGTGTTGAAAAAATGTTAGAATTCGGTCGAGAATTATTCTTACTTAGTTTGCAATTACGACAAGAATTAGGAAGAAATGAAACAAATAAAAAAATGTTACAAGTGTGTATTAAATATTATAATAATTATTGTAATGCTGTGTTGTATCATCAATATAATATATGTTTTGTTTAATTAGGATGCGTTTAGTTTATTAGCATATTCTAATCCTTGGGATAGTCCTGTTGGTTGGCAACTGGAAGCTTCCCAAAGAGATAGTGTATGTGCAGCACTGAATTCCGCTATTTTAGGTAATTAGAATTGTGTACATTAATACTATACTTGAACAATTGTTGTGTTTACCTACTAGATATCACCTATAACGACCATCAAGGGGCTGTTTGAAATAACTGCCTAATAAGTCATTATAGTAGATAGCCATTAATCTTGTTTATTATAAATTAAAAATTAAAAAAAAAAAATTGACATTTCCAAATTTATAAATATTTTTATTTTTTGCCCAAAAACATGCTTTACAGGAACTCCTGTACTCACTCCTCATAAAGTAATTCAATTTTGATAATTTTTATTTTTTTTTGAAGAAACCCTTCTTTACAAGACTAGAACTTGGATTTTCATAATTCTATTTCTAAACTTGTGCATAGATTGCCCAATACCCCGCGTTCAAACACTAATCATCACTGATGACTTACACATATGCCATATACAGTGCAACAAAGTTGCATACTGCCCCCTCCCAATTAAAACAGGCCTCTTAAAAGGTATAAAAAGTGCCAAAAAAAATATTTTGATTATTACCAATGTTAAGTTGGAATTATGGAAATTTTCTGTTTTACGATATACCATTTTTTTTCAAATTGTATTGTTTTAACTTATGTAATTAAGCATGCTGAAAACTATGGTTAAGTCAGAAATTTGTGGTTGGACTCAGTTGCAAAGTTCATGCTAATTGTGATTTATAGTATTTTCATATTCTCACCCAATTAGTTGTTGTTCAGATAATTAATATCAAAAACATCCCTCGACTTATTATGTAAAATCACCTTGGATAGGTCGCAGCCTTCAAAACTAAGTCCAACAACCAAATTCTGACTTCACCATTGTTTTCACTGTGTTTACATTAAAATAAAAAAAAGGGTATCTGGTAAGGATAAAGGGCTAACCTAAACAGAAATCTACCACAATTCTTACAATTTTTTTTTTTAATTATACCAATTAAATAGCATATTAATGTAAAAATTGTGTCGGAACGTTTGACCAATATGTCATTATAGGTGATATCTACTGTATGTCTAATAGTATAATATCATTAATTTAATGCTTTCAATACCTATTTAATTAAACTTTCTTGTTTAAATTATTTTAATTAAACTATAACTTTAGAATCGAGTAATTTGCCACGACGCCCACCTCTGGAAATGACTGTTGGTCATGCCTATGAACTAGTCAAGCTGATGGCAGCGTCTAGTATGGGAGCATGTGCTTTCACCAATATTGATGAACTGCTCAAATGACCTTCGTGCAATGTGCGCGTCTCACTGCCACCATTCTGCAGGTAAATAAAATAACTGCAATAGATACTTCGCAATGAACAATTTGTGTAACATAGTTCATTAAATTATTATTTCCACTTTGCAGAGTTCAAAACAGTTGGCCGCCAAATTTGAACACAGTAAAAATGGCAAAAGTACTTTAAGCGGCCACATCACCCACAAAAATATTTTGTACAAACAAAAACATAAATTGACAATTACATTTTTCTGTATAAGCGTGTAAGTAGTATTTTTTCAGATAGAATTTTAAAATATTTACCGTTAACACAGTGTAAATTAGCATTAAATTTAACGAATGAAATTTCAAACTTATCTGAAAGTTATTTTCACTCATACAATTTTTTCTTGTTATTTAATTGTATAATTTAAAAAAAATATTGTATACTTTAAAAGTTTAAAAATTTTGTTAATCTCTTATTTTTGCGGACAAATATTTATTAAAATAACAAATTATGAAGGTCTGATTAACTTGTCGGTATATTATTTTATTGTCGGATCCAATTTATAATTTGTTGTACGTAAATGTTATTTGCGTATTTTATGATCTCTTCACATAATTTATGCAACATATTAAAATGATATTTTATTGTTGTGATGTGATTCTTGATTACCTTTTCTTGACAAACATGTTTTTTTTTATTGAATCAAATGACGTTTTATTTTTATTAAATAAAAACTTCGAATCGCCAACACTTATGTATAAGATCATTTAAACATTGTACCATATTATTTAATTTATAGTTGTTAGTTTCATACGATTGTACTAACAAAATATAATTAGTTCATTTAAATATAGTATTTTTTTTCTGGAAAAGTTTGTTTATTTTTTATAACATTATACTTATTTAGTATGAATAATTATTTGTATGTTTTTGAAATTTGGTTGCCTAGCAACATTGTATAAATTATCAAAACATTAAGCTTCAGTCTTTACACCCATAAAATTCATGTAATTGTGTTTTGACATTTTTAATATATTATAAAAATCATGAGTAAAATTTAGTTTTATTGTTGTGGTTCGTAATAATAATTATTATTAATTAATGAATACTGTTAGATACTATGGATAATGGATTAATGACTTATAAAAATAGAGGTAATAAAATAATCAATTTATGACATGCACCTCAAATAATGACCAACTCTTTTGCCAGCAAACACTGTAGAAATATTACTTACAGAACCAATGTTGCAAGTTTTCAATGTCCAAGAAAAGTCTGATTGGATTATTTATAATCGTTACATACAACGAGATTTGGAATTATGTAAATTATTAATTGACCAAGAGTTACGAAACACTAAGGATAATAATGAATTTGCATTTTATATATTGGTAATAATGTAGACACAGAATACATATTTAATTTATAGATGTATTATAATAAACTGAATAATCAACAAGGGAACATCAAAATAAACATCTGTCAGTGTTAATTATTATTGATAAGAGTGAATTATATTTAACTATGTACTTTGAAAATATATTTAGTGCATGTATAATATTTAGTAGTATACTAAAAAATATAGATAATTTGTTTTAGGGATTAATATATAGAGAAGAAGGTAAGATAAAAAATTCGTATTGGTGTTTTGACAGATATTATGCTTTGAATCCATTATGCGTCGAAGGAGTCAAACAAATTGCTCGTTCATGGTATGTTGATTAATTATGAGTGTTAATACAGCATTCAATTAGTTAGAACAGTACAGTTAAATATTTTGAATACTTAAAAAAAAAACAATTCATAACTACATAGAGAACTTATTTTATTTCAATATCAAACGATTGAAAATTGATGCCTTACCATATTTATACAAATATAAAAACTAATATAATATTCTTGCCAATACATGCTTCATAATGTAATTAATTAAACTATTTATTTAATTAAGTAAATGCTTTGAATTGATCACTTTACTGTCAGCAGTAAAATATTAAAATGTCATTAATTTTTTATGTATCAAAGTATAGAAGATTACTGCTGACAAAGTTGTGAAATACTTAAATCACCTATAAACTAATATTTATCAAATAATAATATTATATTGTTACTTTTTAAATAATAATTTTACATATCTAACCTATTTCATTAAAATTATATTTTAGATTATGAGAAAATGTATTGGTTTTACAATGTTGTGATTGTGACATTGTGTATGTCATCACTCATTATCTTTTGGAGGAGTAAACTGTAAAATTCTTAGATTTTCCACTTCGAGGGTGGTTTCTGGTGGCAAATTGAATCTAATTGGTACTTTGATGGGTCATAAGTAAAAAATTATTATAGTATTCAGGAAAAACAAAAAAAAATAAATATGGAAAACTAGTTTTTAACTATCTATTCTAATTTTTCGTTGTAATACAAATATAAATAACTGTACTATACTCACCAAATATTCTTTATAGTATTTACTTGACAATAATTAATTTTCAAATTATTTTGACTAATTTATTTACAAACATTTATATCTTTTAGTTACGTATTCTTCGATTTATGTTTGATAAAATGTTTTCCTGTGAGTAAAAAAATTGTACATTTAAAACAAGAATCCTCATAAGTAGTTCATATTCCAATTTAAAAATATTGAAAACGGATGCATTTTTTTGTTTTACTTTCGCACGGGAAAAAACAAAAAAAGAAGAATATTGAATAGGAGTATGGAGGATAGTTGAACAGCAGAATGTACTTTATTGCTGAAAGTTGCATGGAGCTTGTACATGTGACATATTGGGAAGTAAATAAGAATGAGAAAGGAGAAGTAATAGCCAATCTGTAAACGTGATATCATTTCGAGATATAGGGTTCCTATTTGGGGAAGTGCAGAAACTCATGATTGAGTCTTACTCCCCTCAAGATCGGACATATAGGTATTTGGAACCTTTTGACTAATGACTATATATATATGAGTAGGTTTATGATTTAGTCAAAAGGTAAGATGCGGCCCATTTGGACGACCAAGATTCTAAATTATATTCTTGTGGTTACTGCAGGTTAGGAAATTGGGATGCAGGAGGTTAGAAAATCTAATTTGAAAAGTGAAAGATTTGGTGAGGAACTTTGTAGAAAATATTAAATTTAACATACCAGGGACATTTTAAGCATCAACTTTTGCCATCATACAGAGTTAGTATATCAGATAACAACCTAATTAACCTATTGATTTCGTCATAATATTTTAGTTTACTTTTGGGAAGAAATGATGAAGCCCAAAAAATGTACTTAGAAGCAGAAAGAATGTGCAGGGAACCAGATACTAAAGTATATTACAACCTTGGTAAATAATCGTAAATATAATGCTTACATTGTAAATAATATCCATTAGGTAATATAGTGTAATACCATCGATTTTAAATTCCCAACCTACTGGTAATTATAATCAATGGTAATACTATTAACGTTTTCCAACTTAAGTTTTCTAAACTTAATATTCTGTAATGTTTTATGTATTATACTTTCAACATTCAACAGGTTTGTGTTACTTGAACTTAGGAGAATTGGACAAGTCTAAAGAATATTTTCATCGCACTATTCAGCTTAGTCGAAATCAAGATGCTTACGAAAAATTAGCTTCAATATTCGCTATAGAAAATAATTTTAAAAATGCGACCAGTATATTAATTTCGGCTTCAAAGTTTGTTATATACTATAAATCCATTTTTATTAATTCCACTAACAAGAACAAAATTCCATGCTTTTTAAATTTTAAACATAATTAATGTAATTTTGTTCAAGTTTCAACTTCTAGCTAGGGACTATCTGACTATTATTATATAGGTAGGTACCAATACCTTTACTTACCTAGTGTAAAGCATATTATTAATGTTTTAATGTTTATACTTGTATTAAAAATGCCTGTCAACACTGATCACTCACGTGTTACCTTTCGATATTGCTTTAGTAGTGAGTAACATTCGTTTACCACTGTATAAAACTATTAATTATTATTAAAAAAATAATTTACGCAGTTTAAATGTAGGTGAAAATGTGAATATAATAATATCTTAAAAAAAATTGTTGGCTAATAACCCTTGTAGTGGAAGCCTGTAAACTTTTAAATAAAAACAAAAAATAATAATAATATAGAAAACACACTGCTGGTGTTGGTCCTTCACTCATGCATGAGTTGGCATCTGCACCTTAATATCACAAGTTATGTGAAAGACATTTTCAGATTTAAATGACGATTCTGATTTTAAATCCTGCTGGCTGGTTGTAAAGATTCTTTAATTAAATATATTACTTTTTAGTTTTTACCATTTCCGAAATGATGTAGGTTGGTACCTGTGAAATAGTTAGTAGCAAAAGTTTTTGAGTACCTACCCACTCCTATACATAGATTATGAAAAAACAAGGTAGTCAATTAATTATTAAAAATTAAAACATCATTGGTCAATAATTTGGAAGTTAATTTTGAAAATATTAATAGCGAATGAATTAAGTCCGTCTTTAAAATTTAAATAGCTAGGTACCACGTACCTTCATCAATAATTATTTTTTAAATATCACACAAACCTGAAAACATATCCCGATTTTTTCTCTTCATCGTTTGGAATGATATTTAATTAATATTGTTGGGTACCTATAAAAAATGTTGTAAGTACTTTACTACCTTACTTCCTTAGTATCCATATGTCACAAATACACATGTATAAAATACAGATATTTTACAACATACCTATTTTATCGAATATTGGGTACCTACCTAGTACCTAACCTACTTCCATAAACTAAATCAATATGAACACCGATAATTTACATTTTTGTATCCACGAAAAGGTTGTTTCCGTTCAGCACAAATATATCTGTTGACTTGGGTCTGTTATATATGAAACAACGCGATTATGATCAAGCGTTTAATATTCTCGGAAATACACTGTGCCAGGATCCCGAAAACCCTAAAGCACTTTTGACATTAGCAGCTGAAATGCAGGTAACTATTCCTTCTCGACTCTCGATCAAGTTAAATTTTCATGTTCGTATATAATTGAATCATCTTGTTATAATAGAGAAACGGCGGTTACGACGAAGCATTGGCCAAGTACACTAAAGCTGTTACTGACTTATCTGAATGCTCTGAAACGTGGAATAACATCGGGATGTGTTTCTTTGGAAAACACAAATACGTAGCGGTAATTACAAATAAGAAAAAAAAAATACCTAAAATATGTACAATTATGCAGAAAAATAGAAATGTACCTATGCTAAATATTGTAAATTTGTATGATCAGTTTTATCATTGATTTTTAAAATTCAATGGTCTTGTATTTATAACATTTAAATTTTAAAATAACTAAATAAGTTGAAGTAAAACAATCTGATTGTATATATTATATTAGCTATTATACGTTCTAAATTATAATGAACACCTGGGACTTAGGATATTTTATATTAATATCAATTCAGATTAAAGAACACCTACCTAGATATAGGCATTTAAAAAGTATGAATTAATATGTTTTCTTTCTATATGAATACATCAACATTGACAACAAGGCCATTAGTACATTAGTAGTTAGTACTACATATTTAACATGTATTTTTATACTTATATTGAAATGATCTTAAATTATATTACTTACCCACTGTATTTACTTTATGTTTCAGGCTATAAGTTGCTTAAAACGTGCTATTTATTTGCACCCATTTAATTGGATTGCCTTATACAACTTAGGCCTTGTACATCTGTACACCAGACAGTATGTTTCAGCATTTGTATTTTTCTCAACTTCAGCGAAATTAAACCCAAATCATGCTAGTACGTTTATGCTCATTGGATGTAAGTCAATCAATACTCAAAATAAATAGTATCATTTTTTATTTAGGTAGATATATTGCAATATTATAATTATTACTACCTAGTTTAGGGTTTAATTCAATAAATTAATAAAATATATCATAATGTATCATTTAGAAAGGTATTATATTGTCTATACTCTATACCAGCGTTTCCCAAAGTGTGTTCCGCGGAACCTTAGGGTTCCGTGGAACAATGTCAAGGGTTCCGTTAGATGTATGAGAGTATTGAGAAAATTATGTTTATTTAATGTTTGTTGTTAAAAAAATATTTGATTGAAAATTTTTTTTTAAACTAAGTTTAATAATGAAAAGTCATTAACAGTATCATTAAAATATTATTTAGACTTGAGAGTATAAGGAATTGATTTTCCTTTTTTAATTTACAAAAATTGTAGTTGAGTTGGATTAGACATTAGGGTTCCACGAAACACAAACAATTTTTTAAGGGTGCCGTGGTCGTAAAAGTTTGGGAACCGCTGCTCTATACTTATATCGTACGAGGTGCTCAAAACATTTGGAAACGCTTTAATTGCTACTATTAGCATATTTGTATACCTAGATACACATAGCAATAATGAATAACACTGCTATTAGGTGAAATATTTAATCACCACATTAACTATATCATATTAGTATCGTTTATCAGTCCTAATTAGTCTAATAGGTAACCGTTTCCAAACTTTTGAACAGCCTGTATATTAAACGTATACTCACTGCCGAAACTATCTAAGTGTAAGGACTGGTGTAGTGGTGTATCGACCTCAATTTATATACCATGTCTTCGGGTTTTATCATCCACACTTAAAATACATAATGATAAGAATCTCAATACATACCTATAATAATTATGACATAATAGAAAAAAATGTCTGTTTGAAAAGTAAAAAGGTCACAAAAATGTCAATTTTATAAAAACCCAAAACTGCAGGCTGCACTTTGCATAATAAGACTATAATAATATTATAGATATAGGCTGTAAGAGTAATAACAATTCTGGACGGGCGTACGGGATTCAACCATAAAATTACGACTTTTTTTAAAATGTACCTACATTATACTATAATGTAGGTAATGTAAACTAGCTGTAATGAAAATATAAATGTACGAACTGCAATAAAACCCTAAAATGAGTATTTATTAATGAGTGTCATTTATTTAATACTGTATTTATATTCATACTAAAATATATTGATTTTGTTTTTTACGTTGTTTGATCAGTGGCATTGAACCATATGAACGACACGAGGAATGCGGAAAAGGCTTATCGCAAATCCATAGAGTTAAATCCAGACAATCCAGAAGCGCTAATCAATTTGTCAATATTAGAAGTTAACCGAGGAAAAATGAAAGAAGCTGAAAAATATTTCTACTCTTTTCAAGAAGCCTGTCTATCGTGTGGCGCAATTGATAAAGAAGTAACGTTAATAATTCATAACAAAAATCTATTCACGCAATATTATCATTTACCTATAATAACTAGGTCGTTGTAGCTATAACCCTATAAAGTTTATATTATATATTCGTCTTTAAATTGGCCTTCTAGTAACTTGGAGTTGCCCATCCTTGATATAAACAATAATGTATTTACTGCAGTGGGTCGCTATACTTAGCCGGGTGCCGGGTGTAAGTATTTGTATATATATTTTCTCGGAACATTTTTGTGTTTGATTTAATAATTTATTTAATACGAGTAGACATAAATATTGTACTTAATACTTGAAAGTCTTGATATCCATATACAATATACATATATATACTATTAAATATATAGACTATAGAGCGTAATTCACCGAACTCGCTCACACGAGTTGCTACATTTTTCTGCAATAATGATGGGTTCTCATTTTAAAAAGAGAGGTTTGTATCGCTACAATAAGACACTTATTCTTAATTAGTACAACAAGTCACCAAATTTTAAAATATATTCTTTACCTATATTTAAAATTTTAAAAATTCTGAAAATCAGATTTTAGATAAATTCATTGTAAACGGAAAAATAGGGGTGAGCATGCTAGGCGAATCACCTTGTTTATATGTATATACTTAAATTATCAAGGCTTCCTACCTAATACCTTAAATGACCAATATTGGTCTTGCAGTCAGTGATGATAAATGATAAAACATTAAAAAACAAACAAATACATACATTTGTACAGAATGAATGGGGACAAGATTTCTTCAGGGTTGTGAATTTAATGATTTTGCATACCCACGAATTTTATTCTCTATTCAAAATAAGTGAGATACAATCAGTCAGGCATTATTATTGAAATAATTAATATATCATCTATATAATATTATAATAATGCTGTCAGCTCCGCGGATACCTAAAATCTCTGTAGGTATGATTACTAATTAGGCAACGGCGTCCTGGATCGTCTTGTCGATGAAAATCGGTAAAAATAAGACAGTAGCTGTACTCATAGTCCACCATCCGACGTTGCGGTAATACTGCGAGGCGGCTGAAACTGAAGGACTTATGAACAATCTGATTAAATACCTAATATTTTTTCCCTCGGAATTATACAATTGCGTTTTGTGCATACGAACTTGTGAAATGTTTTTTTATCGTTCCTGCCACATTAAATATTCGTTCGGCGCCTGGTAACATGCCTAACGCGCCCCAAAATCTCTCGGCAAATGTTTCCTCAACCTGCCGGTAAACACGAGTATTTAGATCATTACTATTCATTAAACATAATATAGATTATTTTAAAATATGAACACGATCAATGTACTGCAAAGAAGGCGATCACTCGAAAAATATGGGATTTTTCTCATCATACACGCAACTTATAATTGAAATATAATAATAATAATAATATATGTACATGAGTTCCGGGTGATTTATCATTGAACACTCATTATTTCAAAAAATTTAAATATTGTCTAGATAGACATAACCTTGTAAATTGTAATAATCAATAAATAACATAATATAATTCTAAAAAATATAATTTAATAAACTAATACATTCAATGTGTATTCATGAAAATTAAAATTGTTAGAATATATTAGGTACGTGTTATATTCCTTTTTATCTATTATTTTAATTACTTATGCAGCAATACGATTATTGAAATTGAAACGCTGCCGTAAATACAGTTCTATAAAAGAACCAACTATGCTGACAAGTAAAAACTGTTGGAAATCCACTACACTCTACCCAAGTGTGTAGCCGTGTAGGTACAAGCAGGTACATAGTATTCCTTACGAAATTTGAACGAATTTGGCCTAACTCTTAAGTGAAATTATTGATTAATAGACTTATATAGTTATATAATTATATCCTTTTTGAATAAAACTAATTACCAAATCATTATACCCACCATAATAAAAGAAAATTTAGTAATCAGGATCAATTTTGTTTAGTAGTAGCGGCGGGGGAGAAAGCCATAATGTATATTTTGTTACTCTTTAACCGCCAATGCTCGAAGGTACTTACCAACTCCTCAAAAAGACATTCAGGTTCATCAAACTCGTACATTATGTGTTTAAACTTTTAAAATCTAATTCGTTTGAGCTGATCAAAATTATTGTGAATTTGTTGTTTCTATAAAAATAGTCTAATGTATAAACAAATAAATCGTTTGGTAACGGCCCAATACATTATATTTATCATTCATAACACGTATTTTATAATGTATAATACTTATCAGCCACCTATATTATGAACATGGAGTATTAAGTATTCAATCAACCAATGTTTATATTTTGTTTCCTGTTTAGTACAATCCTATAGATAGCTGGTCACTCAGGTAAAAAACAATGGAAGGAGGGGAGGGGGGTGTCTGATATAAATAGGAGTAACACTGTATTCAAAATTAGAGCTCGTCTCAATACCAAACTGTAAAGACGACGTGGGTAGTAGCTTAGTCATAATAATATACCTAACATATTAATTGCCGCACGCTACACACCTTTAAAATAATGTAGGTACAGCTCTCGAGGTGGGACCACCTGGCCACTCCAGTTTGCACGCCTATGATGTTTGTTACTTTAGATATGTTATGAAAATTTAAAGAAGGTACCGTGGATATATAACCACGCTTAACCTACCTAAATAAATTATCATAATTACCACGTGGTCGCCGCAATAACGAAATCGTACTGTTAATATAACCGACTCATAAGAAAATAGGGTAGTTGGAACTATCTAAAGGTATTACTTATGGTTTTTGATGCCGCAGCTTTACCGACGACGGTTACTGTTATTTTACACCAAAAGTATAATAGATGCCTAGTATAATGCAGATACCTATATTATAGACTAAAGAGTACCTAGCAGGGGTTCCCCTTAATATTTTTGAAGGGCCACATTGGGTATCTGGAAATTGTTTGCCGGGCCATCGATATTGCTGACGTCGGTAAAAACCAATGGACAAACATTACAACACTACACGACGTATAATATTATCTGTTTTTAATTTTTACTTTTTTTTCTTGTTTGCGGGCCGGATAATATTTTTCCGGGAGACAGCCATTTGAATGACCCCTACTATAATAGGTACCATAGTATAGGGTTGCCATTCGTCCCGATTTCGCCGGGACACTACCGGTTTTTACTACCGAGTCCCGATATTTTTCATTTCCCGGCCGGGACGTGGATAAGTACCGGTTTCTTAAAATAAGTCCCGAATTGTTCACGTGTGAAATGTGAATAACAAATAATAAATAATTGTCGGAAATTTCCGAGATAGCCGAAGACCGATTTAAGTCATTTAAAGAGAATAATATTGATTATTCTATGTTATTAAAAATTGTAGAATTTGCATTTGCATTGCCTGGATCTAACGCTGCAGTGGGGAGATATTTTCATTGATGAACAGTTGTTGGACAAAGTCACGAGGTAATTTATGCATCAATACAATAGAAGCTACTTTAGTCATTAAGACTAATTTGGAAAATAAACCATGCCAAAAATTTTACGAAGACATTTTGAAAAATAAAGATTTGCTCATAAGAGTTCATAAAACTGCAAAATATTCAACAACAAATACAAAATCAGAAACGGAAACTTCTGGATCTCAAACATGAAAAAATTCGAAAAATGAAGTTAGATGAAATCGATGATGAATAATGATGCATATTTAAACAATACACATATTAGTAAATTGTAAATAAGGAAGACCACTCTGTTTTAAATTAAAAATTGTGTACCTAATTAATTTTTTTAGATAATTTAAAATTATATTTATGAATAAGATAATAATAATACTATTATTACATTTTGTGCTATTTCTAATTTTTGACTTTTTTATTTATTATAAATTATAATATAATAAAAATATTAAATAACGTTGGACTAAAAAAGGTATTATTAAAAATTCCAAAGAATGTGTTGTGGGGGGGAGGTATTATAGTGTCCCGACTTGTATTTTTGTATAAATGGCAACCCTACCATAGTATAGATATATGTGGTATAATGTTGCGACCGTTATCGATTTCAGATTATCGAACTAGGAAAGCAGGTCTCGGACGCTCTAGACGGACATCCGCGATCCCAAGATGAAAACGACGACGAAACGTCTGGACGTGATGAACCCTACTACGAGGTGGTAGAATGACGTTTTCTATCAAATATAATAAATAATATACACAGGCACGGGATCTGAAAATTTGGTGACAAAATGTTTTTCCAAAAAAAAATACAAATATAATTATTTTAATTATAGTATATATAAATGTTAATTGTAATGAATGCCATGTATTTAGTGGGTGCCTTAGTCTCCCCTTGGATTTGACTATTCGAACATACACACACGTGGGCACATGGCACATATTTGTTTTAAACAAAACTGGACAGTCTGAAAATTATGTAGAGGTGACTCGAAATATATGTACGTGATTGAAGTTGTAGTAATTTTACCGGACAGATTTGAGCAGCGTACCCACCTACTTAATTGCAGTACACACTGCGTTTTAATAGACTTTATAATATGTATTTAGTTGATTAGGTAAACACTCTATTTTCATATTAAAAATAATAAATAACGTATTAAATGATACTTGGTTGTGTTTCTTTCTTGCAATTATTATTATTTTAAGGAATTAGGATGGTTATTAAAATAAAGTCACCGAAAACACATAATCACATAATCAACATATAGGTATGCGTATACAAACTTCAAATCACTGTCGAATTGATTTACCAAAGAAATTACTAGGATTTACTTAAGAACTTATATTTACAAAATCATAATAGGTAGAATAACCAAAACCAAGGATATCATAAATAATTTGTTGGTAGATAACCCAAACCTAATGATTTCAAAATATCTTGCGACTTTTTCTTTCATGTGGGCTTCCCAGCAAAACAAAAGTCGAAACAGAATAGTTTTGAATTTGAGTATAGTGATAAATATGTTTACTGTGAGATAAGGTATTTCTTATTATTTCTATAACACTTGCCTTAGTGATTCCCAGTGTTTTGGTTAAAGTATAAATGAAAAGCACAAATTATTAAGTACATCAGTTTTTTTTATTAATACAGTAACATTATGTTAATTAAGTTTTGTCACAATTCATAATAATTTATCATATAAATAATAATTAGGTACTCTTAGCGTTATTAATTATAATACATAGCAATTCCATACCTCAGATATCTGTAAACATGATGATATCAACTAAAAACGAGAGAGAGAGATTATAGATGAATAGAGTATTACAAATTAATTGGACTGGGTATCACATTTAGTACATATTATTATGACATGTTTACATAGTATATAAATTAATTTAAAAATAATAATGAGTAGATATTAATACATATCATGCAGTTTTATTAAAGTAATTGCATTTCGAGGTAGCCCCAAAAATAAGTCTACTCTCGAGAACATTAACAAAGTATAATACAATATATTTTAATAAAAATACAATTTTTTTACCGACTTGAGTAACTAAAATATAACATAGCTTACAGGTATACCATATACATAATTATATTATTTGTGATGTAATAGCCTATATCATAGTGATATTAATGACTAGCCCAATATTCAATCCATACATTTTACTTGCACTATGCAGAGACGCAACTAGACATTTTAAAAGATGGTGTTGTTGAGTAAGTACTCAAATAACAAATAACTACATAAAATCAAACACTATTTTTTTTTGTTATTACTACATTTACAGTCCCGTATTATAAAACGATAAAACAAGTAAGAAAAAAAAATATATGGGGTGATGATCACATAATATTGGCAATAGGCATTGAATAATCACAGCATGCAATTAATCAATGACATTAGATATCTATTACAAACAGTTGCGCTTCTAACACAATATGCACAGTAAGTTTAAAACGAATTGGCTGATACTATGCATTTTATACATTAAATAATACAGCAGAGCATCAATTATCCAACAAACTGATCAAAAATGAAGAAAAATAAGTTACAGAATTTCAAAATTTACCATTTTATGAAACATTTCAATGAAATTGTACGTAGTAAATAATAAAAATAAATATATGTTTATAATTCAAATATTGCGAGTATATACAATACTGGATGTATCTGAAGGATATGAAAATTTAAATGAGCAATTGTCAAATCCTCCAAATACACACTATATATTATTAAATACTAAAAAAATTACTTAATTCGATTATTTTGAATAAACCCCACCTTACTAAAAAATGTAATTATTCTGTCACCATTGATTTCCTTACTAGTTTGATCAATCAAAACTCTACTGTATTATTATCCATAGCCTAAAGGCTTAAGGTATAATGTATTGAATACAAACATATACATGATATTATATAAATAAATGATAGTTTTTTCCCCCCAAATTCATTATTATTACTATATTATTAAAGTTTATATTAGGTATATTAATTAATGATATTTCACAACACTGTTTTCCGTTTTTTTTATAGTTTATGGTTAAAATTATGAAGTAAATGAAAACAAAATAAAATCACTAAAAAATTTACATGTTACTATTCCCAAACACTAAACACCTAAACGCTCATATAATAGTAGAATAATTCAACTATGATTGGTCAATAAAATAACATAGATACACGTCCCTACACCATTTAGTTTAATGTTAACGTTACATAATAATGTTGAAACTTCAATTTTTTTTTTAAATTCACTTCAACGGATAGAAAAAAAATGTTTAAAGTGAGTACAACATAGAAATAAATAAGTAAAAACAATTTTTTAAAAAAAAATATGATTTTAGCCTACAAGGTAGGTTACCCTACAGGTAATTAAGTTTGGTAAGTACTTATAAAGAAACATAATAATTCAATTTTACATTTAAGATATAACGTATAATAATTAATTTAAATTCATAAAAAATATTGCAACATGTTTGTTCTTGTTATTTTTAAATTGAGTAAATTTAATAAACAAATGAGTCTATAAAATGAATAAAATTTAAAAAAAAAATAATAATAGTTAAACATCTTAGAACTAGTTTGACAACAAAATAAAATACAAAAGTATATAATTGTATATTGCACATAAGAAACTGGCTGCCATAAATGGGGATAATTATAAAAATGGAATAATAGTAAACTACAATATAATAATAAATAAATAAATTTTAAATATTAGTATTAATGCACGAAATTATTATGGCACCATTGTTTATTTTCATTGAGCTTGCAAGGAACGAAAGACAAACTAATGTTTATGTGCTGTGGGTGGATAGATTTTTGGTTAAAATCGACAATATGAAGTGTTTCCAACAAAGAGTAATAATATTAATAATAATAATAGAAGTACCTAACACATGAGAAAATACTTTTTTTGAGTAACAATAGTAAATGAAATTTGTTAAATAAACAAAATAAGTCATTGAAAAAATTGTCAATCAATAAATAAAACACTAAAATCCTGTGATAATAATAATAATAAATAATAATATTAAGAAAATATTTAAAAAATTAAACAGAGGTTATCAGAGAACCAAGTTAGGACGGCAATTCAATGCGTAATATTAACAACCGGATATTCAAAAACAGGACGGATATTGAAACCACGGTTATAAAGGGACTCAATATTTAATGTCAAGATTTAGTTTAAAAATAAAAACTGTATAGAGGACGGTTTACACTTATTTTGAAAACTCTACCAACAAGAGGTGAGAAATATCATAAATAAGGTTTTTTGTTTTGTTTTTTATGTTTTCATATAAATAATAATACTAAAAATATCATGTCTTACCAGTCTCGGCGTTGAGGCTGATTGTACCTTTTTGAGGTTTTTGATGGTGTTGAAGAGTTAGGTGTACCCATTGACCGTCGTACGTTTTTCATTTCTCGGTCCATTTCAATTTCTTCTAACCGTTGGGTAACCATCAATTTCTGTTGCACAGACAAACGCAATAGTTGATTAAGTGTCTTTTTCTCTTCTTCAGCAGCTACCAACTGTCGCTGTAAATCATCCATGTGAGTAACTTGTTCTTCACATCGTGCAGCAAACATAGCTCTCAAACCTACAAACAATAAATTAATAAACTCACATACATTGTAAAAAGATTATAGCAAAGATGGAATGTGAAGTTCAAGTATTTACTTGAAAATGTAGCAGCATCTTCTTTGAGTGTACGCAGCTCATTACGTAATTTAGTCATGGTTTCAGTAACAACCATTTTCTCGTTATCGTACTTGGATTTCAAATTATTTAATGCTACCTCGGCAGTATTTTTGTTAGTCTTTAGAACCATGCGTAATGATGATATTTGTTCTCGCTTTGTTGCTAAGAGAGACTGTAATTTCATTACTTGTTCTCGGAGATCAGACAATTCATCATTATTGTCCAACATTAAACTTCTTTGACCTACAAAATGATGCATAAATTAATTTGATAATTCTCCACATTAATGACTTAACATCTGTGTATCAATTAATTATTTAAAATATTATCAATTACCATCATTAGTATCTCGATTAACAGCTTTAGCATTATCTATTGATGTGTTTACAGATTCCTTTAGCAATTTGATTTGATCAAGAACGTTTCTCAGACTTCTTGCTACAAATGAAGCTTCGGTGAGACTTTCTAATTCTTTTATGAATACATCAGACTTGAGTCGAGTTCGTAATACATCCAGACGGGGATCATTTTCTTCTGTTTCTTTTGCTGTTTTTACGACTATGATAAAAAATATTACACATTATTTCATTTATCTGCATACTCAAATATAGTAATATACCAATAGTATTTAATGTTATAGATTTTCCATTCAACACGGACATTTGGAGAGCAAGTTGAGCCAATTCGTCAGTTATCACAACAAGGTCATTTTGTGCATTATCTAAAGAAGCACTAGCATCTGTAGCCAATTCTCCCAACAAGCGAACATTTGACTCAAGTTCCATTGTCTTTTGTTCTCTGTCTAATAACTAAAAAACATAAATACAGATGAATTATAAACAAATATGCATATTAATTATTAATTGAAAAGTATTTCTAGCTAAAAAAATCAGTTAAAGTACTTTATTTTTGAGCATGATTAATTCATCTTTTAATGATAAGGTTTCTTCAGATGAATTCAACTGTTTTTCTAGTTCTTCTAGATCACCGTGAAGCTGGTCAATCTCTTTAGATGCTAAGCTAAACCATTGTTGATAATATTCCAAAGTTGCATTTGATTTTCCATCTTCTGTCTAATCATATGAATAAATAATAAAATAACCATCCAAGTGATTTAAGAATTTATCCAAGTATTATAGCAAAAAAATAAGACATACCTTATGGTCAGAAACTACTTTACTGGTTTGAGTACCAAGATGTTCCAAAGACCTTATGTGTGACCCAAGTTTATATATACGAGATGCTAAATTTTCCAAATCCGATTTACATTTATCAGATGCTGATTGAGACTCTTTAAGATTCTGTGTCAATAAGCTCTTCTCATTTTCCACTTGTTCTAACTGTTTTTCCAGTTTTTTCAATTCATTAAGATGTATTTCACTAAACAAATCATGTTTTCCACATTCTGGTAATTCCATAGTTGAACCAATATCATTTTCAAGTTTACGTAACACAGGCAAATCATCTTCATCATCACTACCAACATTTTGGTCTCCGCCCATACCTTCAACAATACATATTTTTAAGTATAAATACAAACACTTTTGAGTGATTTGAATTAAATTTATTACAATTTTATGACCCAAAAAAATACTTTAATACTGTCAATCAAAATATTTGTAAATACGTACCCCTTATGCTAAAAGCTAAATTACTGAGATTATAAACCGATTCATTGTTGATACGTTGATCGAGTTCTTTTTTCAACGCGTATTTAGCTTCACGTTCGCCCTATAACCAATACAAGTGAAAATTGTTTATCCAAATATTATCATAATGTACACCTACATATACACAATAAATATTAAATTATTAACTTACTTGTAATGATTGCAGAGCTTCTTCCATTTGTTTTTCAGCAATTTTTTTCAACTTTGCTAGCTCATCAACTTGTAAGTACAACAGTTCTACATTTTCTTGCAGTCTACGTATTTCGTGTTTTGCCCCCTCAAATTCAACCTATTTACAAATTAAAATGTATTTTTTTTTTAACTTTTTGAAAAATGTTGCATTAATCATAAAGTAATCATATATTAATATTAACCTGAGAAGATTTTAAATGAGCAATTTGTTTTTGTAAAGTAATATTTTCTTCTTCTAGTTCTGAATAATCAGAAAGTAGACGAGTTTCACGGGATTTAACTTCACGTAAATCTGCACGAAGTTGCTTAGAATCATGATTAGACTCATTACTCAACCTTGATAAGTCATTATTTTCTTGGATAGCTTGATCTCGTTCCATGCGAACACGTTCCAACTCTTGTCGTAACTAGCATAAAATGTTAATACATTATATTAGTGTTATCAATTATGTTCTATAAACAATAATTAAATTATTCTTTGCAACACTCACCGATTTAGTATCATTTTCAAGTTCTATGATTGTGGTATTTAGTGATGATTCTAAAGCTGCTGTTTCATACAACAGTGACTCTTCTTGCTCTATACCAGACTTGGTTGTTACTTTGTGAGAGGTTTGAAATTTTGTCAAAGCCTAAAATTAAATATAAATAAATAAATAATTTAAACTAAACTTTAACGATAAAAGTTTGAATTGTACTTTGATTATGAGGTTATGAATACATCACACATGTATGAATAAGTATAAATGTAGAAGAATCCATATAATACTATAGTATTATATAGAATATTATAAGGTAAAAAATAAGTAAAAATGGTCATTCAATTAATGATGGGTAATTTTATTAACTTACATCTACAAAAGGAATGTCTTAAATGTAATCACATTTTTTAAAATTAATTTAATTAGATGAATAGGTACTAACAACATTATTTCACAGAAAATACTATTTATTTTTTACTAAACCTAAATAAAAACAAATCTAAAATTATATGGTATAATAATTGAAGGTAAAAAATATATTGATATTTAAAATTGTTTGATTTGTACAAAATAAATAAAACTTTTCTACTCAAACATTGGTTTAAGATAGTTTTGGTGGGTCGGATAAAATTAAGAGATCTAAGCTAAAGATAATATTTTCTATTAGTTGTTGCTATAAAAAGGACACCAATATCAAATATGTACAATTGTTTATTTTATACAAATTGGTTTATTTTTTGTTTAACAATTGATAAGATGGATAAAATGTATAGAAAAAAAATATATGCAGATACCAACTTTTAGACAGTTACTAATTTAATATAAATTAAATATATATAATAATTTCTATAACATTATTCAAATTATTAATAAAAAAAATACATTTGAAAAATTTGAATACAAATAAGATACAAACATAAAAAAGGTTATCCTTGCTTTGAACAAGATGGCCTTCAAATTTTATATAGAAAAAAATGCCCAGAAATGTAGTTATGGTATTTTAACGTGGGTTAAATGGATATTAGTTAATAGGTACCTATATAATGTATAATATTACCTCTTGAGTGATTTCTAATTCTTGTTTCACATTCTCATATAAATTTTCCAATTCTTCATAACGTTTTGTTAACGATTGTTTTTCTTCCAGTATACTTAGTCCATAAGTGGCTGACTGGACCTTTTCTGTATGAGCTTGGTCAAGCTCACGCGTAAGCCGATTTATCTCGTGCTGCAACTCGGCCACGTCCATGTCTTAAGGGAGGAAAAAAAATTTGGTATCAACATGAATGAAATAGTTCCAAATTACTAAAGTACAAACACAGCATACTTTTTGTCCTCTTAACACTGTTACACGGCCTTCAATCAGAATTTCATAGTAGCTATATAATTTATAAACCTACGAAATAGGTCTTTTCAATTTGTATCTAACAAATAAAGCAATAAGAACTTAAGTTTAGTAAAACAAAACACGAATCAGATTTGATAAGTTTAGACATTTTATAAATGTATATTTAAGTATTAAAGAATAATAGTATAGTTATGAAACAATGTTTTTTCAACATAATATCTATTATCACTATTATCAGTCGAAAACTTGGAACATCCCAAACGTGGTACAGGTAAACGATAATATCTAAGAGGTTATAAAAACTCATTAGTGATTTTTATATTACCTATATTGTATTTATTATTGAAATTATTTAAATTTAATGTTCTAATATAATCTGTGAATTGTGATACTACCAATAATTTGCGAATAATTTGCAACCATTTGCAAATTGGTTTTCAGAATTTGTAAATAAATTACCCGCACGGTATGAAAAATATAATATGGGGGGCAACTTCACGCTACACCCCCTTTTGAGCTACGAATTGAAATATGCTGCTAACATTTTGCAAATAGCCGCTAACTTATTCATAATTTCGAGTCCAAAAATCATACCAATCATTGGTGTTTATACGTAGGTATAGTTTATAGTATAATTTATAATTATATTATGTAGGTAATACACAATTGAAATAAACTACTCACAGAAGTATTTTACAGAATATATATCGGGCTACTATTTAATGTAAGTTTAATATAGAATAATTGTTTCTTACCCTTATAGTCTTAATACATGATAATATTACAATAAACATAAATTAATAATTTTTTTTTTTATTAATTCTTTTTACTCTATATTTGTAGGAACATATTAACATGGGTTATTGAATATTATAAGCTCATGGCCATGGGCCATCAAATAAGAGCTCACATTAATTAATAACAATTTTTATTTTGTTTTGCTAATAAATAGATTATGTTTTTCAGATCTTCAAATTTTATTCATTTTAAATTTACTTTATTAATTTTTAATTATTATTAAAGTTAGAAATCGTGGTTCATGGTTCTCGTCATCATTTATTATAAAACGTCAGGTACCTAGGTACATCAAAAACATTTTTCACCACCAGACTGTTTCAATCCTTTGCGGACTTTCTCTCATTTTGGTGCCGGATCCTGGAGTCATGTCACTATAATAGAATTATTGGTAAAAGGAAAATTGAAAAACAAAAAAATGATTTAATGAATTATTGATTCTTATTACTTTTATTTATCTTGCAACAAACGCTTAATATAAATTTAAAAATAATAAAATATAACCTTTTTGTTTAATTAAAAATAAAGACATCTTTTATTGCTATAGTTGATTTTTGTACCAGTGTACATGTCTTTTTTTACTCTTTCGCATATAAAATTACATGTGGTTTTATTTTTATTGAACTAGGGATAGGTAATTTTAATTTTTTTTTTGAAAAATCTTTGTGCACTTTCCATCTATTTACACGGCTTATACATACGCTATATAATGATCATGTCCATAAAAAACTGCTCCGGATAATTTATATCTAAAAATTATTTAAAACAATTAATTAAATAATATATTATTTTGAAATAATTATATACAATACCTGTTATTTTCAATTGCCAGACTACACTGCAAGTCAGCCAATGAGTACTCTCGACATTCAGTAATTTAATCTATTTCAATAAATAAATGATTTCCTAGAACTCTCGTTACATTTAAAAATCCCAAACAGTTTAGTTCTGTCTTCTGTGCATTTAGTTTTTTTTTACTTCACTGTATTATTTCAAACTAAACTCCAAATCATTGAGATTGCTGAATGATGATTTTAAAATTATTGTTGGACTTGGTATAGTTTTCGACGTAGCACGGTTGAAACACAGTCGTTTTTCAATGGCGGATGGCACATTTTCAAAATACGAAAATTATAAGGAGTTGTGAGTTGTATATAGCAAATAGGTACATAAGACTGCGAGTAAGCTGCATTAATATTTTCTTTTTTAGATGGGGTGAAATTTGTGAAGTTAAAATTTCGAAAAATTTTCCAAAATATGCAAATTAAGCACAATAAGGTGAAAATAAGCGGTTTCCGGCAAAATGTATGAAGTATGCAAAATATGCACATTCAAATTTTAGATTTTGTATGAATTTATTTCGCACTCTGCTACATTTTACAATAATTTAAAAAAGTATGTAAATGCTATAAGTCCTGAACCTTGGTCATAAGGTTTTTTCCCCCGTCACTTACCTTTATGTGACTATGTGAGAGCCTTAGTTAGGTACCTACACGGCTATATATTTATCACATTATTTATTACACTATAGTGTAGTAGTATAATATAATTACACATTTTTTTTAGCAAATACTGCACACTATTATAGAATAATATTGTTTGATAACATATTATATTAATGCCGAGCCCAGAGAGAGTATTATATTCATTATTCACGATTAAAGTATCCATTTTTTTATTACTTCTGTAAATTTCAAAGCCTAATTTTGATTTTTTTTCATGTCTACACTTCTAGAGTTTTATATTAAGTTATAACTTATAGTTTAACCGTTAAGACTAAAAACAATATTGTGAGATAGCGGACAAAAAAATGGACTCACCACAATAGTGTATCTAAAATCTAAATGTCCTATACGCAGAGTTCAGTGTTCTAAATTGTATGGATTCAAACACTCCGAATAATATTATATTTCGGAATCTGAAATAAAAAATGTATCGCCTCATCCAAAGAATTCAAAAACTTGAAAACTGATAACAACATATTATATTATAATATCTATCATCTAAGGCAAAAGCCGATCGTCGTCACTCGTCGGTGACGATTCACAATTCTTATAATTTCATTGAACAAAAGAGAAATGTGTGAGGCAACAATAAACATTTGCTCACATATTTCATTCTACTCAAGTAATTTTTATAAAAACTCTCGATTTTTTCAGTTCGGGTTTAGATGAAGAAAGAAGTTCCTCGTATGGCATTTGCACTCAAGATATGGCCTTGCAGCTATACATTACTCGAAGAGTCGTTGTATACGTAAGTTTGATTACCTATTCTTTAGGGGCTTACATATTTTACTTTTAAGTCTCAAAATTAAAATTTAATGTCACAGACAATTTGCTACCCGGGTGAAGTAGGGGCATATTTTTTGTTCCCGAGCGTGCAACACAAAAAAATACTCTTATAGCACAAACGGCGACGGCATATCTAGGTCGCAGAATAATAACATATTATTTAAACAATTAAATATATATAAATAGTGTTGTACATGGTAGTCATACTAGAGTAGTACAGTACACGGGAGTTCTTATGTCCCGCAAAATTCAACAATTTTTATTTTTAGTTTATATAAATGTTGAGTAATATATGAATATTACTATGCCGTCTGCTTGTGGTCGAACCGCGAATTAATGTGACGCCGTCGTACATCAAACATCAAATTATTTTATAAGGCTGGGAAAGTCGCTCTGCTGATTATTGAATATCAATCGGAAAATAAATAAGGAAATTTTAAATTTTAAATATTCTCGAATAGCTTAAAATATACCCAACCAATGCTGAATGCACTCAAAATTAATACATAAAATATTAATTATTAATTTCGTGTTCGACAGTATTCAGAGAAAAGATTTAACTTGGAGTTGTACAAACTATAGTTGGTGTAGTCGGTATACGGTAATTAATGTGATGCATTAGGCACTGAAATACTGAATACCTTTATGTTAAATCTAAAAAGTAGTAATCACATTTATTTACAATAAGATTTTTATTTAATGACTCATAAAAAAATATGCTTGTACATCAAATATTTAAACACCGCATTTATTAATTATTAAATCAAAAATTAAAATAATAGGTACTTTATATATTGTAGTAATTTAAATTTTAAAATTATAAACTATTTTGGTTATTGTTATAGGTACCTCATTTCATTATCTTAATGATCAAATCTCAAACACGGACCTTCTTGATATAACAATTTGTAATATACCATATATCTATGGTTTTATCATATTGACGTAGTATAAATTATAATGCAATCCATGGCAATTGTCGAAGTAGTTGCAAAGACGCAATCGATCTAAAATTTCAGTTAGCAAAGGCAAAGCTGCAGACATGAACAAGAAATATGAAGCGATCCGTACGGTTTTTTTTTTCATAATAAATCTAAATATTTTAAGACTTAAGTTCAGTCGTATTTCTGAATTATTCCGGGGTGCACACACAATATCAGGAATTCCGCCGAAGCCCGAAAGCGTCGATGTTTAAAGTAATTGATTTTGATTTCATATTTTTTTGGTGCTTAAATTTATTTTTTTTACTTCAAATAAAAATTTAATTTCATGAAAAATATGCTACCCCTATGTAGACACATATTTTATTTCTGAGAGCAAATGCATAAAATACGAGAGATCAAATAATATACAAACGCCGATCGTCGTCGTAGTTTTTCTGCTCCCTGATCGTAGGGTAATTTTATAATTATAACCTATTTTTAAGTTCTTGAAATAGACATTCATTATGCGGTTTAATTTAAAAATACCCGTTATAAGTGATTACTCATAAGACACAATTTTAATTTAAAACTTATAATTTTTTTTTAAATCCAAAGTTAGCAGTTACGGGACACTACTAATTTAGTGTTATATATATTTCATTGTTCTATTATATACTTATATTACATTATATTATAGTTGTATCTAAAAAACAAAAATGTTCAGAGAGTGGTAAACTCACTATCCTAACCAGTAATCAACCCGCACGAGTGATTATGAAAAATATTATATTTTTATACATTATACTAGTATAGATAGGTATCTTTTATAATATAATAAATATTAATGAAATAAATAGATAAATAGTTCAATTAAAAAAAAGAACATCTCTTATTACTATAGTTGACTTTTGTATCAATGTACATATCTTTTTTTTTTACTCTTTCACATATAAAATTACATGTGATTTTATTTTTATTGAACTAGGGGTACTTATAATTTTTTTTACCAAATCATTGTGCACTTATCATCTATTTACACTGAGTACATACACTACATAATGATCATGTCCATAAGAATTTATTTTTTATTTTTTTTGTTTTTGTCATCACGTTATTTTGGGAGTGTAAAAGTACTTAGATTTACTTCAACAAGCATCTTTTCTGGTAGAAATGTGAATAGTATCGGTACTTCGAG